CCAGACCTTGAATTCCAAACAGCACGTACTGTGTCCAGTTTCGGTCCCTAAACCATCAAAAGTACATGCTAATCAGTGAAGCTTATCATGTTGCTGGATATATGAATGGGTATATTAAGGGATAGTAAGCCCCCTCCCCCCCTCCTACCCTCTCAAGACCTTTATACAAACCGTAACCATAACGATTGTCCTTCTCAGCCGACGTAGCCCCAACGTTGCGCATTTCTAGCTCCCTCCCGAAGCTTAGGGCTCTATAGAAGTTGAGGAGTCGATGTACAGAAGACGTTGAGGTACACTCTTTCGGAAAAGACCAGGCCCTGAAGCACTTAAATCCTTAAGCCCTGAACCCTGAAGCCGTCCTTGCATATGGCCTGGAGCACCTATAGCTCGCGTTCTTATTCAGATAATGCTGGACAGAATTCACGCCTACCATGCTGGATATCTCATGAGGGTCATAGGAATTAACGCGGCTTACCAGTCAAGAGCGCCCTGTAAGCGTCGAACCCTAAACCCGCCCGCATAACTTGCCTGTTGGGTTTAGCGATTGAAGGCCTTAGGGGTCTCGCATTACGATACCTATCACAGGTTAAGGACGGTTCCCTCAGCTGTTCTTAGGACCCGATCAAGCCTAAACCCTAAACCCTAAACCCTAAAGCATTTTTTTAGGTTTTTGTCAGTAAGTTACAAAGACCAAAACCGTGCACCTCAGCAACCCGAAACCTCCGCACACCCAAAAAGGCCCTCGACTCGAAAAGCCTCAAGCCCTACAGCGACCCTTCAAAGCACTCTAGAACCTTAAACCCTAAACCCTAAACCGCAAACCCTAAACCCTAAACCCTAAACCCTGAACCCTCTTAAACCTTAGTGTGTCCTACGCAAAAAACCCCCAGATCCTAAACCCCTGAAGCACCCCAAACCCTAAAGCCCTGCACCCTTACACGCCAAACGGCCTGAAACCTAAAACCACCCAAGCCCACAAGACACTGGCCTTGTCAATCCTGACCCCCCCCCCCCCGCCCACCCCCAAAAAGCCCCAAAGAATGACTAAGCCGTAAACCCCTAAACTTTATAAACCGTATAAAACCCTGTAAGCCCTGCAAACCCTGTAAACCCTGTAAACCCTGTGAACCCTGTAAACCCTGTAAACCCTGTAAACCCTGTAAACCCTGTAAACCTTGCAAACCCTGTAAACCCTGTAAACCCTGTAAACCCTGTAAACCCCATAAACCCTATCAACACTGAGAAATAGTAAGAAACCCTGTAAACCCTATAAACCCTAAACCCTAGACAGCCTACAAACCCTAAAACCCCTCAAGCCCTTTGCGTGTGAGCCAACCCTGAACCCCAAACCCTAAACCCTAAACCCTAAACCCTAAACCCTAAACCCTATAAACCCTATAAACCCTGAACCCTGGCCTCCAGGTTCTGAAACACCGCCTCCTCCAGCATGACCACCTGACGGGCTTAGGGCTTAAGAGTTTAGGGCTTAGGGTTTAGGGTTTAGGGCTTAGGGTTTAGGGCTTAGGGCTTAGGGCTTAGGGCTTAGGGCTTAGGGCTTGATGTGTAGGAGTTGGGGCTTCGGGTTTAGGCTTTCGGGTTTAGGGGTTTGGGTGGGTTAAGGGGTTGAGGGTTTAAAGGTTTTACAGTCTGGTTTTGTGAAGGTGCAAGGGTTTAAGCTTTAAGGGTTTCGGGAGGAGGGACGGGCGCGGCGGTGGAAGGTTCGAGGTTGGGCGGGGTGGGGGTGGGGGGGGGGGGGGGGGGGGGGGGGGGGGGGGGGGGGGGGGGGGGGGGGGGGGGGGGGGGGGGCGGGTGGGGGGAGCAATTTCGGGGTTTAGAGGTTTCAGTCAGGTTATGGCAGAACGTGGGTGCTAAAAGGTCTTGGTATTGGGGTGCTTTAATAAGCTTGCTGTGTGCAGGAAGCTTCTTTGGTACGCGGAGATTTTCATGTCAGCATCAATGTAGTTTAGTAATTTAGGGTATATACATCAATCATGAGCCTCTGCATTTGTTCTGAAAGATCCCTTAATACGGGAATGCTGAAGTGTAACAGGGATCACAAGTGAATCCCACCCTGATTGAAGTCTCTGGGCTGTTGGGTTCCGGGGAGCAAGTCTCCTACCTGTGAAAGCCACGCGCAATGGGTTCCCAGACGATCCAAAAAGTAGAACCCCCCAAACAGTAGCCCAGACCACTACTGGGTCATTTTCGGAACCCTTTCGGGGATCCACTTCTTGGATTTTTGCAGGGGTCTTGGTTAGAGACATCGATCAGCGGCTGGCAACTGAGGCTTCGACCTTCTCAAGGTAAACCTTCGCAGGGGTGGCCATGCCAAGCGCGCAACCCTAAACCCTAAAGACCCTAAAGACCCTAAAGACCCTAAAGACCCTAAAGACCCTAAAGACCCTAAAGACCCTAAAGACCCTAAAGACCCTAAAGACCCTAAAGACCCTTTTGACCCTTTTGACCCTTTTGACCCTTTTTTGACCCTTTTGACCCTTAAACCCTAAACCCCAAACCGACGTTAACCAAGCCCGAAACCCTGTTCATGAACCTCGCCACGCCCTGAACCTGTAGATTCACTGTAGAGATGATGTGGGAGACCTACGGAAATCAGAGACCCCCATGATAGACTAATACTCCCCTTAGAACCTGCATAAACATAATATGTTTTTAATATCCTCTTGGCTTTTATCTGAACAAAAAGTAAAGAAACACAATTCCCAAGGGGGATATAGAGACTCCCAAATAGTAGGATTCCCTTATAATCAGGACCCCAGCAGGATGCCTCTAACTTCGGAAACGATCACGTGCGAAGAAAGCAAAACCCCGACAACTGCCGCACCCAACCTTCCGCTGGAGCCTGACGACGGAGTCGAGGTCGCTGCGGTGCGTGAAGGTCAGGCCACCCAGATCTTCCTAAACAGGGGGTTTAGGGTTTAGGGTTTAGGGTTTAGGCTTTAGGGTTTAGGGTTTAGGGTTTAGGGTTTAGGGTTTAGGGTTTAGGGTTTAGGGTTTAGGGTTTAGGGTTTAGGGTTTAGGGTTTAGGGTTTAGGGTTTAGGGCTGGGTTAGGCTGTGGAGATGTAGTGCACTCCCTTCATCCTTCATCCACTACGTGGCCTACTGCGGGTTTCATGAGGGAACGAGGATGCCAGCGGAGACAAGACAACTCTGACCCTAAACCCTAAACCCTAAACCCTAAACCCTAAACCCCCAATTTAGAGAACTGCCCTGCTGGTCCTTGAAGTGGTCTGGAGGGGTGGGCATCTTGCCTGGCTCCCAAGATGTCTTGAGGTTTAGGGTTTCGGGCTTAGGGTTTAGGGTTTGGGTCTAGGGTTTAGGGTTGTCCCTTAAACTATAATAGGAATGATTTCAAGCACTATTCCTTAATTAAGGGGTTTTAGGAGTCTCTGGGGGTTTATGGTTTATCTGAAGAGCCCCAATAGCGGTAGCCCGTTGGGAGAAATGAAGGGAGAAAGCAAGCTCAACAGACTAAGACGGAAGATGCTAAGAGCATCCGCAACAGCAACAGTGCAAGAACCCCCCCCCCCCTGCCCCCCCTGAACCCTAAAAACCCAAAACCCAAAAGCCTGAAGGCTAAACCCTAAACCCTACACCCTACACCCTAAACCCTAAACCCTATTTAAACCCTAAACCCTGAACCCTAAACCCTAAACCCTAAGCCCTAAGCCCTAAACCCTAAAGCCTAAACCCAAAACCCTAAACCAACCCTAAGCCCCTGTCTAAGTCTGTCCGAGTTGCTGCTGGCCCCTTGCTCCTCTCCCGGGTTCAATGTGACCCGGTCGATTCGCACGTTTTGTGCCTTTGAGCTCTTCACGGCTTCGGGGGTTGTCTCCATTACTATTCGGGGCAACCCTATGCCTACTCCCTAAACCCAAACATCCCGCAGCCCCAAAGGTCTTTTGAAACCCTTCAGAGTTCTCCTGTTGGTGAGCTTTTGGGGCAATGTCGTTCTCCGAAACCAGGCTCGAAAGGTGCATGGAAACTGTGACTCGAAACCCTAAACCCTAAACCGTAAACCCCAAACCCCTAACCCCCCCCCCCCCCCAAAAAAAAAAAAAAAAAAAATGCATGTGTTCAGACCTTTGCCTTGCCAGAGGACGGGGCTAAGATCTGGCTGTTTTGAGGGCAACAGGGTTTAGGGGTTTAGGGTTAGGGTTTAGGGCTTCGGGCTTAGGGTTGGCGGATGTTCCCTCTTCAAGGCTCTAGATAGCTGACTCAACATGGGGCTTGCTTTCCAGGGCCCCTTTGATGAAGGGCTCGTTTTCAGGGGAGCCCCATTCCAAATGTGCCCCATCCCCAAGAAGGACTAATTAAGGGAACCTGGAATAGAACAACTCCACCCCCCCCCCCCCCCCCCCCAACTTGAAGCCAGTTTGTCAAAGCACCGTCCGGCTGCGAACGCTGCTCCACTCGACCTCTGCGCGACACCACCCGCGTTGCTGGTAGGGTGTACCTCCCGGCGTTATCTTTGCTTGGGCACTTGCGGCAGCTGGTTTGGCTCGGCATTAGCAGAGTTGCAGGTTGTTCAGATATCGAGGCCCCTTGAGAACGGCACCTGACATGTCGTCTTGAAGGAAAGGTACGGAACTCCTAAACCCTAAACCCTAAACCCTAAGCCCTAAACCCTAAGCCCTAAACCCTAAACCCTAAACCCTAAACCCTAAACCCTAAACCCTAACCGCACTCATGCTTTGCAAATTCAAAGGGGCATTCTTCGGCTCTCCTTGTGTTCTGGGACGGCCCCTCAGCTATCAAAGTCTGTGTATATTCCTTCCTGGAATCGGCCACAGTTCGGGTTTAGGGTTTAGGGTTTAGGGTTTAGGGTTTGGGGTTTGGGGTTTGGGGTTTAGGGTTTAGGGTTTAGGGTTTAGGGTTTAGGGTTTCGGGTTTTAGGGTTTAGGGGTTAGGGTTTAGGGTTTAGGGCTTAGGGCTTAGGGGTTAGGGCTTAGGGCTTAGGGCTTAGGGCTTAGGGCTTAGGGCTTAGGGTTTAGGGTTTAGGGTTTAGGGTTTAGGGTTTATACCCGCCCGCAGACTCTAAATCAGGGCTTTGTGAGGAAGCCCCGCAACCCCACATCACAGCAAACGCCAACCCTGAACCCTGAACCCTGAACCCTGAACCCTCAACCCTCAACCCTCAACTCTCAACCCTAAACCCTAAACCCTAAACCCTAATCGCCCGACCCCTGAACGGCTGGTGCACTGTTGGCAGTCAGCTGCCGGACTGGGATGGAGGTAAGACAGCCGCTTGGCTCATGCCAGATGGGCAGCTCAGTATCCAGATGGCCCTGTTTCGGCGGAGATTTTGGGGTGTTTTGGTTTAGGGTTTAGGGTTTAGGGTTTAGGGTTTAGGGTTTAGGGTTTAGGGTTTAGGGTTTAGGGTTTAGGGTTTAGGGTTTAGGGTTTAGGGTTCAGGGTCAGGGTTCAGGGTTCAGGGTTCAGGGTTCAGGGTTCAGGGTTCAGGGTTCAGGGTTTAGGGTTTAGGGTTTAGGGTTTAGGGTTTAGGGTTTAGGGTTTAGGGTTTAGGGTTTAGGGCTCTAAAACACCTCAACCGGACAAGAATGCAAGCAAAATAGCCATCTCGTAGGAACCTTTACCAGAAGGGCGCAGGGTACCTTTAAGAGTAGCACGAACCCTTGCTATGAATTAGTAAGGCGATGCTACCTTAATTGAAGGAATATTGGGCTCTCCTGGTCTGAACAGTCGCGGTCCCCTCTAAGCATCTATAAATTAATAATAGGTCTACCGATGCTTTGGTCAGGATTTCGAGTCCGAGCTTTTTTTTGCGCTTCCTTGCAGAGCCGGTGGATAGCTCATGGACTTTTGCTGCTGTTTGAACTAGCAGCTAGTCATGCGCACTTGTATTAACACACTTTCAGGCTCATACTTCACTACCAAGGTTTTCTGGCTTTGTCAGGATCTGATAATGTGGAGTTCCGACCGCTTGGACCCTAAACCCTAAACCCTAAACCCTAAACCCTAAACCCTAAACCCTAAACCCTAAACCCTAAACCCTAAACCCTAAACCCTAAACCCTGAACACCAAACCCGAAAACCCAAGTACCCTGAACCAGGGAGCACCTGCCACAGCGACTGCGGCGTCAGCTTCTCAACGCGAATGGTGTCCTAAGTCCAGAGGGCTTCCCAGGCAGAGGATTCCGGGTTCTTGTTCAGCAACTGAAGTACCTTCCCACTAGGAAACCACAGGTTTCCTGTCACAAGCACTTATGATGCTAGCGTTATCTAAGTTCCTGAAGAAGAAACCAAGTAGAAATCCAGATACGACCATCCCGAAGTCCCTGAAACTTTAGCTCACAAGCTCCCAAAAAAAAGCTGCATCGTAAACTGCCGGCTTTGAAATCCCAAAACCTCCTGAACCCCTGTTCGAGTAACGCTTTGGGGTCCTAAAGTAAGGGGAGCGTACCAGCGAATAAGGAGCGGTGCCCTTTTGAAGACTGTATGGAATATAAACGTAGAAAGATGTAAACATATATCTATAGGTCTCGTAGAATATGTGTGGTATTCTTCCAAGTATGGACTGTATGGACCTCCGACATCTCACCTTGATTCCCCCCAGCCCAGAATCTGTGCACTCGTGGGAGTACAGGATGTGCCTTGGCAGTGGGTCAAGGGGTTGTTAGGTAATATAGGGTAAAGGGTTTAGGGTTCAGGGCTTAGGGCTTGGGTTTTAGGGTTTAGGGCTCAGGGTCTAGGGCTGAAGAGCACAAAACCTTCCATGGCTTTGAGACCGTCAGGGCATGAGCTCCTCATGCGTGAAGGGTTTACGGGGGTTTAGGGTTTAGGGTTTAGGGTTTATAAGGTTTAGGGTTTAGGGTTTAGGGTTTAGGGTTTAGGGTTTAGGGTTTAGGGTTTAGGGTTTAGGGTTTAGGGTTTAGGGTTTAGGGTTTAGGGTTTAGGGTTGGGGGCCTTGCTTTTTTTTGAGGTTTTTGGTGGGAACCCTTTTTGGCTTTGGGGACTTAGGAGCGCGCCGGAATCTTCGAAGCTGCAGCGGCACAGGGCGCGCCGAAACCCTACACCGTTTAAACCAGGCTCCAAAAATGGCCAAAAAGCCATTTGTAACAAGGTCTTCGGGCCCAAAAACCTTAAAAAAAGAGCCCATTTAGGGTTTAGGGTATAGGGTTTAGGGTGTTTAGGGTTTAGGGTTTAGGGTATTTAGGGTTTAGGGTTTAGGGTTTAGGGCTACTCGCCCCCCCCCAAGGCAAGCTGCATGTTGGCCATGGCCCTGCGGAAGCTCCGATTTTCCTCCGGATTCTGGCGCTTGTACTGGAAAAGGGACGTGTAGTCCTCGGAGGGCCCTGTAAAACGTTTGGGGTTTGGGGTTTGGGGTTTAGGGTTTAGGGTTTAGGGTTTAGGGTATAGGGTTTAGGGTTTAGGGTTTAGGGTTTAGGGTTTAGGGTTCAGGGTTTAGGGTTTAGGGGTGCTTTACTTCCTGCTGGTTAGCAGGGAATGAGGGAATGAGGTACCCTGTACAGTCCCTTACAGGGTATCTGGGGGGGCACATCAACAGTGTGTGAGTTCAAAACCCTCTGAAAAATGTTTCCTGCATAGGGTCCTCTTATCAACCCAATAAGAGAAAATGTACTCTTAAACCCAATAATTAAGAGAAAATGTACTCTTCCACCCAATAAGGAAAAATATAAGGGGAAGTATGAAAAGCTGCCTAGGGTCGTAGAAGAGCCAGATAGGAACACCATGGGCCGCGTAGTGCCTCAGTGTTTAGGGTTTAGGGTTCAGGCGTCTAGGGGTTTTCAGGGTTTAAGGTTTAGGGTTTAGGGTTTAGGGTTTAGGGTTTAGGGTTTAGGGTTTAGGGTTTGGTTAAGGGCTCTTGGGGTCTGGGTAGTCCAGATTTGGAGGTTCACCACGGTACGTAGGAACCCAATTTGAACGATACTGATAACCCAATTCTAAACCTCTTAGAGTACTTCAGGGGCTTACAGGTGGGCTATGACTGCACTTCTAATCGGGATACAAGTACCCTGAACCTCCAAGTAGCCAAGTTATAATATGGGGCCCCTTTTTGGGGTTGGTTACTTTTTACGGGCGCCATGAGCCACAAAGAAAAAGCAGGAAAAGGGTTACCAGTGGGCTACCAAGGGGTTCAAGCGCCAGCACGCACGTCGCGCATGCGGTGCTTGTAACCCTAAACCCTAAACCCTAAACCCTAAACCCTAAACCCTAAAACCCTAAACCCTAAACCGAGCAAGCCGGCCGAGTGACAGGGAGGTGTAGTCATTTATCGTGCGCAGTTGGTGCGCGCAGGGATCCGGATGCTCCAGCGCCTCCTCGCAATGGTTTAGGGTTTAGGGTTTAGGGTTTAGGGTTTAGGGTTTAGGGTTTAGGGTTTAGGGTTTAGGGTTTAGGGTTTAGGGTTTAGGGTTTAGGGTTTAGGGTTTAGGGTGTCGGGTCTAGGGTCTAGGGTCTAGGGTCTAGGGTCTAGGGTTTAGGGTTTAGGGTTTAGGGTTTAGGGTTTAGGGTTTAGGGTTTAGGGTTTAGGGTTTAGGGTTTAGGGTTTAGGGTTTAGGGTCTTGAGGACCGGCTTCCTACAGGCTCTTGACCTAAACCAGGATGCCCGAACACCGTCACCACTGATCATCAAAACCTAGGAAATGCTCAACTTGCCTCCAGGTACACCCTGTTAGACCTATAAGCCTGCCTAAACCCCAAACCCTAAACCATCAGACAAGCCAGGGAAATTTATATTTCTATATACATGTAAATGTGTATGTATATGCATATAGTATAGATGCAATATATTAATCCCTAAACCCTAAACCCTAAACCCTAAAACCTAAACCCTAAACCCTAAACACCCGATCAACCTGAACCCGGAACGCCGGAGCAAGAAGGCTTCGCGAGCTGCAGCCGGGACTCCCAGGCATGAGAGACGCTAATGATGAAAGCATCTTCCTTGAGTCGAGGGTTTCGGGTTTAGGGTTTAGGGTTTAGGGTTTAGGGTTTAGGGTTTAGGGTTTAGGGTTTAGGGTTTAGGGCTTAGGGCTTAGGGCTTCGGGTTTAGGGCTTAGGGCTTAGGGCTTATAGGGATTGAGGGGAGTCAGCTCAGTCTTTGCAGAGGTAGCAATAGTGATAGCGCGAGTGTTGCAGCAGCAGCAGCAGCAGCAGCAGCAGCAGCAGCAGCAGCAGCAGCAGCAGCAGCAGCAGCAGCAGCAGCAGCAGCAGCAGCGGCCAGATTGGTGGTGGCTGCAATGAACTCCGATGGCAACCACCAAGAAGAACAGGGCTCACAGGCGACTCTAAGCAAGCAAGGTCATGCCAAAATGAATGCACCACTTGCCACCCCTACCATCCTTGCCATTCAGACCCCGAACCCTAAGCCCTAGATTGCCCAAACCCTAAACCTGCCACGAAGCTCTTCAAGATCGGAAGCAAGGGGATCCTAACTTCATTCAGCATCTAATTCAAGGGTGTCTCTTGGGATGAGATGGGAAATTGAAGGATTCCAGGCCAGGCGTGCACAAGGCGAAGGGCCTCTTCCCAGTCCACAATCTCCTCTTGTGTGACGAGTGCCGTCACCTCACCGCTGCTTGGGGTTTAGGGTTTAGGGCTTAGGGCTTAGGGTTTGGGGTTTAGGGTTTAGGGTTTAGGGTTTAGGGTTTAGGGTTTAGGGTTTAGGGTTTAGGGTTTAGGGCTTAGGCCCTGAAACCAAAAACTCTGAGTCCTAAGCTCTGCCCGAAATCCTGCAGGGTTTAGGGCAAGTTCATGGTCCACAAGCTTGAAAAAGGCGATCATAGTACAGGATAGATAGAACATCACTCGGATGGCCCTAAAGACCCTCTGAAAAATATTCCTGAATATGACACTCTTCAACCCAATAAGGGGAAAAAATGTCCCAAGGACCTACCTGGATCATATGGCATGTGGTTAGGTCCCCAGTGTTAAAAAAAAAAACTTCAAACCGCATGTTGCATGAACTAACCCAGGGGCATGGCAAAAAACCCTTCCTTATATTCTCCTTTTTGTGGGTTCAGGGGTATGGGTTGGGGGTATGGTGAACTTATTTTTTAGATCCTAGATCTTCTTTTGGGTCGGCCATCAGAGTCTTTGCGCGTGGTTTTCCACAAGAGAGACTCTTGAAGTAGAGGCTGAGTGAAGTTAGGAGCCCCTTTCTACAGTGAGCCCCAACTCTATTACTATGTGCTTAAGAACCCCCAAAAACATTTAAAAACACAAATGAAAAAATAAGGAGGAATGTCGTATTTTTGGGGTGGTTTCAAGCAGATAGCCCTAAACCCGAAACCCTAAAGTCCTGCTGAGGGCTCGCTACCAACACGCGAGCGACCTGAAAGCACAGAACGTGCAGCCCAGGTAAAGCTGGGGCTGCTGGATGCTCTCAGGCAAAGTAAGGCCCAAAGGTACAGACCCTAAACCCAAAACAATTGCCGGTGCACCTAGCCCCCCCCCCTCCCAGACCATGTCTGAGACCATTTCTGAGCTTTTTTGGGCTTCTCTCAGACCATGTCTGACGTGAGGGGCAAGTTGTAAGAAGGCAAGGAATTCGATGGCAGAAATGACCCCATGATTTTCTTTATGTGCGGCCACCAGGAAGCTTCTCAGGAGCTTTGGGCCGCTTCGATTCTGATGAAAGGCAACCCTTTTCACAGCCTGGTTTTGATACGGGGGGGTCGTAGTTTTGAATTTTCAAGGCAACGAATCGACGAAGGATGCCAAACGCCTTCAAACAAGCAGGTAGGGACACTGGCCCGGTCGGGGCAGCGGCTCCCTGCGGTAACCCAAACCAATCTGTGAAACACATGCCATACGCCTTCAAACAAGCACGTCCCGAGTTTGATGATGAAGGGCTACCCCCGTGACCTTTTCACAGCCTAGTTTTGGTCAAGGGAGGGCAAAATATTCGGGCAGCGTTTGCTAGAACTTCATCTCTTTGCAGCCCTGCCCCCGCGAGGCTCGGGACGGTGCTGCAAAAGCGTGCACAGTGGTACAGCATGCCCCCGCTGGAAAAGCAAAACCAGACCTTAGGAACCGCACCCTAAAAACAAATATGCAGGGTGGCTTGGGGTGGGCTGACCGCCGCCCGATGTTGCGAGCGACCCGGGCAGGAGGGGCCGGTTAGAAAAAACGAGGTGAGGCCCCGGAGCCCAGCGAGCAACCCAGAACATAACACCCTAAACCCTAAACCCTAAACCCAAAACCCAAAACCCAAAACCCTAAACCCTAAACCCTAAATCCTAAAACCTACCTGTTGCCAGGGTAGGGTTGCGCGCCCCAGCCTGCTGTCCCGACTTGTCCACGAAAGTCGCGCGCTCGGCTTCCTGCGCACATCCCTCCCCTCCCACAAGTTTAGGGCTTAGGGCTTAGGGTTTAGGGTTTAGGGTTTGGGGTTTAGGGCTTAGGGTTTAGGGTTTAGGGTTTAGGGTTTAGGGTTTAAGGTTTAGGGTTTTAGGGTTTAGGGTTTAGGGTTTAGGGAGTGAGGGAATCTAGAAGTCTAGGAACGCTGCAAAATTCCAGGCGATGGAGTCCTTAAGTCTGTAAACCCGTAATGCTGCACCTCCCCGCAAACGCTAGAAGCCCTGGGCCCTTTAAAACGGGATCTACGGGGTTCTTTTACTAGACCCGGGAGTAACCTAAGAATAAAAAAGGTACCCTTTTTGGTTTTAAGGGGATTATAAGGGAACCATAGGGAACCCCAACCCTACAAAAAGGAAAAAAGGGCCTACTCCCGGTCCTAGTTCAATGGGGGAAGATGACTGCCAGTCGAAAGTAAGGGGATCTCAACAGGGCTTGGGACCAGTGCAAGCAAAAGTTACCCTAACTAGAATTCGAAGCCCTACAACAACAAACAAAGCCCCTAAACTCAAGTAACTCAACAACCCTAAGCCCTAAGCCCTACACCCTCAACCCTAACCCTTAAACGTTAAACCCTAAACCCAGAATAGCAGAGGAATCGTTGCCGTTGAGCTTCAGGCAGGCACTAGGGAGTCAAGGGTTCCGGACTTCGTTTATTACGCTGGCACCTTTGGGAGGTCTATGGGCTAGGGGCTAGGGTTTAGGGTTTAGGGTTTAGGGTTTCGGGTTTCGGGTTTCGGGTGTAGGGTTTAGGGTTTGGGGGTTTAGGATTCTAGGGCTACAGCCCTCGGCCTTAAGCTGAGTGCTTGAGGCGGGAGTGCCACCCCGAGCCAGGAAGATCAAAATGTTCAGAAGCAGCTGGCTCTCGAAATTCGGGTCCCTTCCCGGGGAGGCTTTTGTAAGCAATCATGGGCACCTCATAATCTCAAAGCCCAAGACCTTAACCCTAAGCCCTAAACCCTAAACCCTAAGCCCTACACCCTAAACCCTAAACCAATGAGGACGAACAGGCTTCATGGTCTCCAAAAGAACCTTGCCTGCCGGCGCGGCAGCACGCGGCCTTCCTGACAAAGACCCTAAACCCTAAACCCTACACCCTAAACCCTACAATCCTAAACCCTAAACCAAAACCAAAAAAACCTGAACCCTGAACCCTAAACACCCAAGCCCCTGTAACTTGAAATTGTTCAAAAGCCAAAAACGAAACTCCTCGAAACTCCCCAAAACTTTTCTCGAAACTTTCCCGGAACCTGAACCCTGAAAAATTTCAACAAACCCTAAACCCTACGTAAACCCTAGACCCCAAACCTAAGCGTAAGCCTCCACTCGTATCGGTTTAGGGTTTCGGGGTTCGGGCTTTAAGGCTTAGGATTTCAGGTTTAGGTTTGAGGGCCCTTCGCTTGGTCGGAAAGAAAGCAAGGACCAAGGACTAAGGACCAAGGACTCGAGGTCGACTTCTTGTTCATCTTTCCTTGCCCTGTGTTCTCCACGCAACACCTCGAGAACCCACCCCCGACCAGGCCATTCTCTCGGCAGTTCTCTCGCACCCTCGAACTCGAAGAAAGACACAAAGAAACCCCAGCAGACAGTGTGACACAAGATACCCGCAGTTTCTTGCATCATTGTCTAGATCGTAAGCTCTAAGAATGAAAGCCAAACACTTTAGAAACCCTGAAGCTCCAAACCCCCCAAGAGCCCTCAATCCTAAGCCCAAACCAGCAAGCATTTGATCCCTAGACCCAACTATAGGGGGCTTAACAACTAGCAGAAGGCTTTGGGGGTTTTTTAGTATATCGATATAGGAACGATAAGGGAATAGGATCAGTGCTTATTCCGACCCCTGAACCCTAAACTTTAGAAACCCTAGCATCCCTAGAAACCCTCTCGAAACCCTGAAAACCCTAGAAACCCTAGAAACCTACAAACCCTAGAAACCCCAAAACCCTAGAAGGCCTAAACAATTAAAAGACCTAAACCCTAGAACCCTAAGCCCTAAGCCCTAAGCCCTAAGCCCTAAACCCTAAACCCTAAACCCCAAACCCTAAACCGCCCCTAAGGCCCCACAGCCCAAATCCCTGGGATGGCTAGGGCAACTTGGAGCCGAAGCATTGCCTTGGCGAGATGCCAGAGGTACCTTGTAGGGTTTAGGGTTTAGGGTTTAGGGTTTAGGGTTTAGGGTTTAGGGTTTAGGGTTTAGGGTTTAGGGTTTAAGGTTCAGGGTTCAGGGTTCAGGGTTTAGGGTTTAGGGTTTAGGGTTTAGGGTTTAGGGTTTAGGGTTTAGGGTTTAGATTCAAAGAATCCCGGATAAGGATAGAGCAACGCTACCTAACCCAACATATAGACACACATGAACCGCCAACCCTGAACCCCAACCCCCCCCCCTCCAGGTCAACTTGTAACGCCTTGGCTTTGCAGTTCTTGCTCACGGCGAGAAGAGGCATGAGGCTAAGGAAGCTTGCCCAAACTCGTCTTGTGGTTACAGACCACCCGTGCATTTCCATCTGTAGTAGAGACGTTGATAGGGGATTTCTTAGGATATGTACGTGGTCCCCCAAGCATGGGCCCTTAAAAAATGGACCCCGTCTACATACCTTGTATACCCTATACAACCCAGGGGCCCATACCTCAGTACCGTCTACCCTAAACCCTAAACCCCTAAACCCTAAACCCGGGTCCAGATTAAGGGCCCATGAAACTACCCTACTTAGAGGTTGGCAGCATTGGCAAGCGAGTCTGGATTTGTCCGAATGGCTGCCTAGACCTAAACCCTAAATCCTAAACCCTAAATCCTAAACCCTAAACGCTAAATCCTAGATCCTAAACCCTAAACCCTAAACCCTAAACCCTAAACCCTAATCGTGAACAGCTCCGGGAAGGGCACTCGGCACGCACGGGACCTGAGTCGACATCCGATTGCAGGCATGCCAAGAGCTTGCGCCGAGTGGAGCCATGAAACCCTCAACCTTAAGCCCTAAACCCTAAACCCTAAACCCTGAACCCTAAACCCTAAACCCTAAACCCCTAAACCCTAAACCCCTAAAACCCTAAACCCGCCTTGCTTGGGTTGGGGTGGTTGAGGCCATTCCTAAACTCCGAAACTCCGAAACAAAGACCCCCGAAAACTAAAAAAACCTCGGTGCCCCACGGCAGCCTTGGGAACCCGACGGGCACCGCGAGGAGAGTGACGAGGGAAGCCAAGCTCTTTGGGTTTAGGGTTTAGGGTTTAGGGTTTAGTGTTTAGGGTTTAGGGTTTAGGGTTTAGGGTTTAGGGCTTAGGGTTTAGGGTTAGGGGGTTTAGGGTTTAGGGTTTAGGGTTTCGGTTTTCGGGTTTCGGTTTAGGGTTTAGGGTTTAGGCTTTAGGGATTAGGCTGTAGGGGGGGGCCTCCGAAGATCCATCTTCTCCCGGTCATAAAGGGCTCTGGCGCCCATTTTGGTCGCGGTTTCGCTGATCAGACCGGAACCCAAACCCCAAAAGGGCAAACGGTCACCGAAACCCTAAACCCTAGACCCTTAAGCCTAAACCCTAAACCCTAAACCCTAAACCCTAAACCCGAAACCCGAAACGATGCAAGCAGAGGGAACTGGGAGCCAGGCGAATGTTGGCTGCCAGGAGAAAGCCTCCCAAGGCCCCAGGATCCTTGAGGCCATAGGTGACGTCCTTCGAATTTCTGGAGAAAAAAAGGCCCTAATCTCCTATTCGGGTTTAGGGTTTAGGGTTTAGGGTTTAGGGTTTAGGGTTTAGGGTTTAGGGTTTAGGGTTTAGGGTTTAGGGTTAGGGTTTGGGGTTTGGGGTTTAGGGTTTAGGGTTTAGGGTTTAGGGTTTAGGGTTTAGGGTTTAGGGGTCGGGCATTCCTAAAGGTTTCAAGGGTTTAAGGCACCCTAAACGGCTCAGAGCCTAGGGCTTCGCAAGCCCTGAATTACTAAGCCCTACGGTCATCCTCGGCTTACTCCCAACAGCAGAGGCCCCTTGGGCGGCACTCCCTTGAAGGAAAAAAAGGCAAAAACAATGTAGGGACTCAAAACTCCAGCATGAACCCCAATTCTCCTGAACGATTCCAATTGTGTACTTTCTTGTGAATGCCAATGTTTAGGGTTTAGGGTTTAGTTCCAGGGAGGGGGAGGCGGAGGGGGAGGCTTGCCAGTCGGGGGTGTGGTGTACACAGCCTCAGCCCTCCATACTCTCCGAACCCCCCTGAACTACGCACGCCACATGTGAATCAAGCAGAGCCCGAAATCCAGTGGGTTGTGCCGAGTGCCTCGGGTTCTGGCCTTAGGGTTTAGGGTTAGGGCCCAGGTTCCACTAGAATGTGGGTCATCTCCAGCCTGTTAGCCCAGTTTGGATTTTTTTTCAGGGGCATCCGGGTTGGCTACAACACAAGGAACCATGAACCAAAAAAAGGGAAAAGCATAACACTGGGCTATCAAGCCAGAATTCGCAGCAACCCCGCCCCCTCTCGACCCCCCCCCCCCCCCCCGCCAAAAAAAGCTCCTCTGACATCCTTCTGTTGACGAAATCTTCCTGCCCAGCATGCTAGGGTCTGGGGTTTAGGGGTTCCGGTTTTAGGTTGGGCTAGGGCATGCCCCCCACTCAAGAAAGAGTGACAACTACTATATCAGGGCCGTCTTATTGCCTTGCCGCGGGACTACGAATAGGATGGAGGCAAAGCCCAACATTTTATGGATGCGCTGTGGGGTGTATACTCAGCTGCTCTTAGAATTTGTCTCCAACGAACTTAACTCTTGAACTTATGGTCCCTGATAATAATAGAACCAACTAAACGGACATCAACAGTCCAATAAAGAACAAGCTCTGGGGGACGCCATGAAAACAGATGAAGGTTGCCAGGATAGCCTGTTTGGGAAGGAGGGAGGGAGGGACGCCGGCTCAACCCCCTTTTCAGTCAATATCACTCAACCATGCAGAATTTGGAACAACCCTCTTGCTTTTTCTCCAACCCCAAGCCCTAAACCCTCAAACTTGAGCCCTACTTGGTAGACAAATTGCCACATTTCAATAAGTGGTACCCCTTTGGGGTTGGCTACTTTTACCAGGGAACCCAGAACCACAAAAAGGGCAAAAGGGTACCACTGGGATCCACTTGTCTACAGAGCCTAGAAACCCTAAACCCTAAACCCTGAACCCCAAACGCTGACCCAAAACCCTGCACGGGACGCCTGGGAAGCCCCGAAAGCCTGAGTCCCAACTCCAACCGTCGACGCCGTGCCTCGTACACTTCCTTGCTTGCGTTCCGTGGCAGGGGGCTGTTTAAGGTTCTAGGGTATGTAAGGGCATGTAAGGGTGTATGTAAGGGTATGTAAGGGTATGTAAGGGTATGTAAGGGTATGCAAGGGTATGTAAGGGTATGAAAGGGTATGTAAGGGTATGTAAGGGTATGTAAGGGTATGTAAGGGTATGTAAGGGTATGTAAGGGTATGAAAGGGTATGTATGTAAGGGTATGTAAGGGTATGTAAGGGTATGTAAGGGTATGTAAGGGTATGTAAGGGTATGTAAGGGTATGTAAGGGTATGTAAGGGTATGTAAGGGTATGTAAGGGTATGTAAGGGTATGTAAGGGTATGTAAGGGTTCGAGGGCTTATAGGGTCTATGTTGCGTTTGCAGGGTTGTCTGCGTTTCATTCAGGTTAATATAGATTTTAGAGGACTTCTAGGGACTAGAGGGCTTACAGGGTCCAGAGGGCTTATAGGGGGTGCACAGGGTGTTAAGATGCTTTGGGCTTATAGGGTTTAGGACTTAAAGGTTCTGGGCAGTAAGGGTTTCTGACATAGCCATGTCGGAGAAGAGCCGTGATGCCAATCTTTGGAGAAGCCTTTGCGGCCACTCTCGTTTGTGAGCACCTCGCCAGTGCCCAACGTGAAAAACAAGCTCAGAAGACTTGTTGATGGTCACGATGCTCTTGCCGATGGCGTCGGAGGTAGGACTCTGCTGGTCTCTGGGAGTTCGGCTGAGGGTCGAAGTTCGAAGGCTTTTTAGGCTGGGGCCTGGTGATGTTTAAGCCTGGTAGCTCAGTAACCATGCCCCTTTTGGGGTTGCAGTTACTGAGAAATACACGGGAAACCATGAACACAAAAGCAAGGAAAAGGGTGCCAGTGGGCTGCCAAGTAAGTGCAACCGGCTGGGGTTGATGGAGGCATCTTCCCCAAAAAAGAGACAGACCTTTCAATCACCTCCAAGCGTTTGTGAATTCTACCCCCAAGGCCCTACTTGGGGTTCAGGGTACTTCGTAACCCAAATATAGCTGCATGTATAACCCACTTCTAAAGCCCCAAAATCAAGCTAAAAGGGACAATTAAACACCCTTTCCGAACTGTCCGAACTGGCACAGAAGAGGTACCCTAAACCGTAAACCCTGCAACCTAAACCCTAAACCCTAAGCCCTTATCCCTAAACTCTAAACCCGAAACCCTAAACCCTAAACCCCTAAGGGCCCCGGCATTGGTGGGCTCGGCATCCATCCGAGGCACGCCTGGCACCAAGCTCACTGCGGATGACACCTGGGAGGGGCGGCTCTGAAAGTTTAGGGTTTGGGGGTTAGGGTTTAGGATTCAGGGTTTAGGGTTTAGGGTTTAGGGTTTAGGGGTTAGGGATTAGGGATTAGGGTTTAGGGTTTAGGGTTTAGGGTTCCGGGCTTGGGGCTCTGAAAGCCAAGGCAAAGGCGCAGGATTCAGGGCTTAGGGCTTAGGGTTGAGGAGGAGGAGGAAGGGTGCTAAGTTAAAGGGTATCCATAGAGGGCCGCATTCCCTCCTAGACCTTCCTTTGTTACACTTATTTCCGCTCGATTTTGTCCCAAATCAGTTTGCGCTCGTTTGCGGGAATATGCGCTCGATTGGCGGGTTTATGCGCTCGTTTTGCGGGTTGTGTTGTGCCCATATACGGCATTATGCGCCCGCATGCGGTGTTATGCGCCCGCGTGCGGTTCGAGCGGAAATTTGTGTATCAAAGGAAGCTCTAGGCTGCTAACCAACAGTAAGTAATAGGGTAATAAGTACAGTTATAAGTACAGCTATAAGTACAGTTAAAATTGGGTTACTAAGTACCCTGAACCTCCAAGTAATCCGCACTTAGCCTCCTCTGAGGTCGGGGGTGCTTCGAACCCAATCCAGTCCTGGCAAAACCTGGGTTTCTCCAAATTAAGGTCTAGAGTTTAGGGTCTAGGGTTTAGGGTTGAGGGTTTAGGGTTTAGGGCATATTTGCGGTCTTAAAGGGGTTTTCAGGTAGCCGGCTGATAATGGTACCATCCAATATGCTGTCCCAATGGTCGCGGAGGTGAGCGCGCGTGTCTGGCCCCCAACTAAAACCCTAAACCCTAAACGCTAAACCCTAAACCCTAAAACCTAAACCCTGCCGTGAGCCCGATTCCCCTTGGTTCAGGAACATGCAGCTTGAACTCGGGCAACAGGGATCCTCATGCTGGGAGGATATAACCTAAACCCGGTGGGACCCTATACTCCTCAAACCCTCAAAACAAAACCTAAAACCCTAAACACCTAAATCCTCAACAAAACCCCTATTAAAAAAAAAAAAAAAAACGCTCAGTGCCAGACGTCTGCGGAGGCACCGCAGCCCATGCTCGCAGCCCCAGGGCATCCCGGAATGGCTCTTGGAGTCTAGTTGCGAAAAGGGTCAAGGGTTTAGGGTTTAGGGTTTAGGGCTTAGGGCTTAGGGTTTAGGGTGTAGGGCTTAGGGCTTAGGGCTTAGGGCTTAGGGCTTAGGGCTTAGGGCTTAGGGCTTAGGGCTTAGGGCTTAGGGCTTAGGGCTTAGGGCTTAGGGGCGTGTCCTACATTCTAAGAAATATTCACCATATGCCATGGGCATACCCTGAAACAAATTACGGGGCTTGGGGAAATCCTTCCTTACATGTTGTTTTATAGGTTAAGGCGTATGGGTTTGGGGTAGGTTGAAGCGTTCTTAGATTTGAAGGGCTTAGAAGGGCTTTGAAGGGCTTTTTAGGGCTCTGAATGGACTTCAGGGTAGGAAGAGGTTCCAAAGGCTCAAAGGGGTTTAGGGGTTAGGGTTTAGGGTTTAGGGAGGCTCAAAGGGGTTCAAGGCTGCCGGAGGCATTTATCGCTTCGCGGGGTTTGGGAGAAGACCTGCGGGTCTTTGGTTATTGTGAGGTGGCCATGGAACCACATCGTAAGAAGGGCACCATTTTGGGGAGTTGGTTACTAACCCTAAACCCTAAACCCTAAACCCTACACCCTAAACCCGGAACAATGAACCAAAAACAAGGCGAAGGGCACCACTAGGCCACCGAGTCTTAAGGCGGCAAGGGTCGACTGGGGGGGCTTTTGCTTCAAGGCCCTGCGCAGCAAAGAGGTGTAGCACTCGAAGAGGATCCAAGAGTTCTACCTTAAACCCTTAAGGTGGTACCCTCGGGCTTTGGGCCCTTTTTCAGGATCCCTAAGGGAATATAAGAGCCATATTAGGAGTAGATGAAGGGGGACCTTGAGGGGTACAGCCTTAGGGGTACGATTCTTCATCCCTTGAGAGGAAGGGCTCTGAGACAAGGACGTTTGAGGCCAGCAATATAGGGGTCGGAATAAGTACTAATGGTATTCCCTTAGGGTCCCTTTGTAGTTATACCATAAAGAAGCAAAAGCCTTGATGTATCCATTGATTCATGACCCCCTTTCACGGGGACTTGAGATACCGGAAGAAGAGGTCAGATGATTCTGCCCAATGCTCGCAGGCGCCTATTGCTGACAAGTGGACATCCTGAATGCGGAGCGACGGGCTTCGAAGTGTTAGTCCGAAGACACAGCACTAATGGGCATCATTGTCCTGGATTGAATTCTCTGAGTCTGGCTGCTAAACCCTACACCCTACACCCTACACCCTACACCCTACACCCTAAACCCTAAACCCTAAACCCTAAACCCTAACTCTTAATCCGGAATCCTAGAAGGCTCAACTACTGCAAAGTCCATCTTGAAAGTGCTGCATTCTTTTCTGCACTGGCAATCGCACAAGAGGCGCAGCTTCTCAGAATGGCACTGCTCCCGACTCCTGACCAGAGAATCACTTGCATGTAATGCAGGCGCCTATTGACTTAGCAGTTTATAACATAAGATCATGGAAGAAAACGTCTACAACCGCACTTCGAATGCTGCCAACATATATCTGCACACATATGATCGATAATTTATGGTCTAGGGCTTGGGCTTACGGTTTCTAACCCCGAAACCCTAGAATTCCCAAGCCTTACATGGATACAACCAGCAAAAACATCAATGAAGCTCGCAACCCTAGGGTTTAGGGTCTAGGTTGTGACGGGGTTAGGTTGCAGGGTCTAACATTCCATTGGGGCTTCGGTGTTAGGGTTCAGGCGTTAGTTGGGAAGCCCTAGACCCCCGACCTCAAGCCCTGAACCCACGTGGCCCATGCTGGGAAGCTCTTTTGACTGAGTAAGTCTACCGGGTATCCCCTAAAAGCCTCATATGCATCCCCATAACCCACCTTACTAAGCCTACTGACTAAGTCCAAAGAGCTTCCAAGTGGTAGGCACCCAAGAAAGTAGCCTAGAACAAAGAGGTCGGTGCAAGGTTCTTAAAGAGGCTCGTCGGGTTCTGGGACTTAGGGTTTAGGAGAGTGGAGTTTGCAATTTCCCAGGAAAGGGCACAACTGGGCATCGCATCATCTGCATGACTTTTTGGCCACATCCTCAGGAAATCACCTGGGTAGTTTTCTAAATTAGGGCCACTTGTTGGGATCCCTTTTTAAAGGGTGCCGCCTTATACCCTTCATACTGGGTAATTTAGGAAACTACCCGTATGCCACACAAAGGGAAAAAAGGCATGCTACGGGGGGGGGGTGGATTAAAGCCCAACACACTAAACCGCTCAACCCTCAACCCTAAACCCTAAACCCTAAACCCTAAACCCTAAACCCAAAATCTCTCTTTTTGGCCGCTCTCTCCAAGAAGGCATTCTGGACACATCGACTGGCTCTGCATGGTCCTACCGGCTCGTAGAGTCGGGGTTTTAGGGTTCCGGGTTTAGGGTTTAGGGTTTAGGGTTTAGGGGTTAGGCTTTAGGACTGAGGGCTCCGTCCGGGCTTAGGCAGCGGCATCTGGACTCTGAGGGAACCAGCTCCAAGGAACAACGACAGCCTGCAAAAACACGGCGCCTCCTAGAGCTTCTTGTTTAGGGTTTAGGGTTTAGGGTTTAGGGTTTAGGGTTTAGGGTTTAGGGTTTAGGGTTTAGGGTTTAGGGTTTAGGGTTTAGGGTTTAGGGTTTAGGGTTTAGGGTCCAGTGTGATGGCTGGGGGGTATTGGGGCCAGCTGTCGCAGCTGCTGTCGCACCCCGTAGGTGCGGTGTGTTCATGGAAAAGCTTGCACGGTGAGACGGCAAAAAAAGTGCATCCGAGGAAGCCAAGTGCAAACTCCGGATTTGACCCCTGCACTCGGCCGCTGGCCATCGGCCACGGACCAATCATGCGTTTCATATTCCCTTGGGCTCTATGCAGAATAATTCTGAGGGGGCTAGAGTCACTGCAGTCAATAGGCTCGCTTGTGGCAGCAGGTACCGCGCGCCTGCCTTTGAAGATTCGGACCATTGAAGGGCCAAGCTCTGGAGTCACAAGTTCTTCGGTCCCCCGCAATACCACTCTTGAAGATTTAGGGTGTAGGGTCTAGGGTTTAGTTAGGGTTTAGGGCTTAAGGTGTCTGAATTGAGGGGGCGCGCTGGTGCTAAAAGCACCCAGGCGCGCCCCGACTTGTGAAGCCCCGCCCCCGCTTGCGCTCCACCCTCACCGTGACCTTTGCAGGTTTAGGGTTTCCTTGCTTTCTGATCGTGCTCCTGCATATCATTCTTGTTGAGAGTGGCGCCCCAGCATCCTCGGTGTGTATGAGGTTTCTGGAAGTCAGTGCCCGAGATTTGGTGCTGGGGTTGGGGGTCCTGACAGGTTTGGGACCCGGATTCGGGCACCCTGCTTGGAAAAGCGTTCTGGTTGGGAGCCTGCCACCTGGGAGGCCGCTGCCTGTGGGGAGGCCCACCTGCGGTTCGGGATTGGGGGAACGTCCCGTGCAGGAAGGCTGTGCTGGAAGGCCCCGCAAGGGGGGAAACTTTCGGGAGGGCCCCGCAACTGATCCTTCAACCTGAAAAAATAGGGAAAATTGCTCGCTTGCCTGGCTGGACCTGTCTGCCGCCCGGCGAGGCCCCTGCCCTGCCTTTGCGGCCCCCTGCCTGGGAGACCCCTGCCTCAAAGGCCAGAAACGTGGGGCCCAGAAGAGGGGAGCCTCGCTTTGCCCCGAGGGTCTGAGAGGGGCTTCTGACTCCGGAGCTCCCTCGCCTGCCGGCTTCAGTGCGTTCGCCCTGCTCGACGGGTCCGGGCTCACTCAGTTTAGGGTTGAGGGATTTCTGGTAGCACGCTGTGGTTCTGGATATCTTACCAATGCCCCGAATATCCCATAGCCATGAATTCCTAAATAGTAGTGCTTGGACAAGCCAGCAAACTTCCACGGAGGGACCCAAGATCTCTGGATTGAGACATGTTTTTGGGGTTCCCCTGGACCCCCAAAGTAACGAATCTTTCGTCGCGATAGTACGAGCACGCAATGAGCAGTCATGTCCTGCATGGAAGCTACACGTATCTTGGAATAATCGGTAGTTGAGCAACTTGGATTTGCAGGGCTTTTGGGGCGCTGTGTTTGCAATCTGCGGCAGTCTCGCCGCGTTGTCCCATCAGCGCCTTGACTTAATAAGCAACCATCATACATAGATTACTCTGTCAGTCAAGGTCGATAGCAAGTGCCTTTGAGCACAAGCTGTTTCAGCTCGCTGCAAGACTCTCGAAGGATCATGCTGCTGAGGGGTTGCTCCTTGTTGAAGCTCTTTGTTTAGTCAGAGACCCTGCAGCAGTTTGAGGTCGGAACTGCGTTTCAAAATACAATTGCGGCTTCAAAGGTAGGAGGGCTTGCTGGCAAATTCTGCCTCCGCCTCCCTTCAACGAATTGCGAGATGATCTGCTAGTGTCAGGCATGCCTTGACAGGCTATAGGTTAGAGGCTTGGTGTATATGGATTGCTTGGGAGCGGAACTCAGCTCGACAAGCAGAATCAAGTATTCCAATCTTACCCGCAGCTCAACAGCTCACATGTCGAGTGCGGGTGCTCACGCTTAAAAACGAGGTTCTTGGGACAGCTTCTATGGGGGTTTCCGAAAATCAGGGGGACCCTAGGATAGACCCCTTAAACAAATTAGGATTCTCTTATAACGAGGACCCCAACAATAAGGTACCCCTCATTTCGGAAACCCCGATATTATACTCCTGTAAGTTGATGATGTCAGGACGACCTTGTGGACCAAATGGAGCCTAAAAGGGCATGGGGCTCATACACCCTAATCAGGATTATAGTAGTATGGGGTTCTGACCCCAACCCTAAACCCTAAACCCTAAACCCTAAACCCTAAACCCTAAACCCTAAACCCCTGACCCCAACATGAGGGATCATTTGGTCCCCAAGGTATCCGGGCCCGACATTCCTCAACTTTTCAAGTGCGGACCGAGCCAATCGCAGCCTTGGATCCCTGGGACTATAAATCCTGATCTTTGAGGTGTGTGGGTTGTGGGTTTGGGGTTTAGGGCTTTTAGGGTTTAGGGTGTAAGGTTTTGACAAGGGTTTAGGGTTTAGGGTTCAGGGTTTAGGGTTCAGGTTTTAGGGTTTAGGGTTCGGGGTTCGAAACACTAGGTTGCCCAGTAACCTAGGAATAAAAAAATGGTAGCCTTTTTGGTTTCGAGGGGATTATAAGGGAACCTAAACCCCAAAAGAGGGGAATCAGGGCCTACTCTGGGTCCTAGGGTTTAGGGTTTAGGGTTTAGGGTTTAGGGTTTAGGGTTTAGGGTTTAGGATTTAGGGTTTAGGGTTTAGGGTTAGGGTTTAGGGTTTAGGGGCATCCTTCGTAAGTTCAGGGTTGATCAGGATCGGGGCTTAGTGGGGCAGGTTTGGGACCCTAGAAAAAATCACATTTGTATGGCCTTATCAGGATTGTATATAAAGGATTAAGAGTAAGGGTTATATATAAAGGATTAAGGGTGACCAACATTGAAAATGATGTTGAATACTACCCCTGCTTAGGCGGGGTTAGGGTTTTGCACGGGGGTTTCCCGGGACCCACTGGATTCTTGGAACGGGCGGTCCGCACACAGCGATTCAACTGAAATCAAATCACTCCGAGAGCAACCTGTCTGCTGTAACCCGGTTGTAACAAAGAAAGATGAACTGAACTAAATGTTAAGCATGTGTCTGTCTTCTTTCAGATACTCAGAGTGCTCTTGATCTGGCTCATTCTTGCCACTCCAGCTGGATGCAAGATTGAGCCATCCAGCAACATCTACACAACCGGCCAGAGCCCTCTCGAGGTATGAATCCCCAAACATAATTGAAGAAAGGGAGGCATTGGCGCCTATGATCCTCATGAGGGTAGGTCTTCTTGTTGCTGGAAGTCTGGAGGACAGCAAGCTGAAGGACATGAGCTTCATTTCGCACTCACGTCAGATTCCATTAGAGGATGCACCTGCCCACTGGTACCTGGCTTGTGACAAAGCCAGCCGTTGAATCTCGGGCTTCGATGCTTTCTAGCGACGACAAGCACAAAGAACAACCCATGGTTCACAAGCAGCCCAAACCCTGAACCCAAACCCTAAACCCTAAACCCTAAACCCCTAAACCCTGTAACCCCTAAACCCTAAACCCCCAAAACCCCCCTAGAACGCATCCAGGGCACGCTGTTGCTTGAGGAGGCGCCTGAGAGCCGCAGGCAGCACCATGTCGAAGTGCAGTTGCTCGTCCGTCGATTCCACTTCTTGCTGACAATCTACGAAGACGTCACTCAGAATGCCCTGCATTTGCATCACCTTGGGTGTGAGTTTAGGGTTTAGGGTTTAGGGTTTAGGGTTTAGGGTTTTAAGGTTTAGGGTTTAGGGCTTAGGGTTTAGGGTTTAGGGCTTAGGGTTTAGGGCTTGGGGCTTAGGGTTTAGGGTTTAGGGTTTAGGGTTTAGCGTTTAGGGTTTAGGGTTTAGGGTTTAGGGGGGTTTAGGGTTTAGGGTTTAGCGTTTAGGGTTTAGGGTGAACCTTGCAGCAAAGGCAACAGAGAAACCATGATTTGTCGGCGCAGAACTCTCTCTTGCAGCGCAAGTCACTTCGACGAATCGTCGTGCATAACGGCTGGCAGCACCATGAGTGTCTGATCTCTCAGCCAAGGTCGTACAGAACCTTATTTGCTGAGCTCATAAAGCCCCCAAACAATGTGTACACTTTCAGGTCTATAGGGATTGTCGTATGCCAAAAGGTGTATCCCTAAACCCTAAACCCTAAACCCCATAAAGCGTACTCGTTCAGCTGCCAAGGAACTTCAGAGCATCCAAGCAGAGAACCTCCGAGGTGGCGTGCGCCACGAGCTCCCCCATGTGCACCCAGGGTGCCTAACAAGACTCTATGGGGGTTTAGGGTTTAGGGTTTAGGGTTTAGGGTTTAGGGTTTAGGGTTTAGGGTTTAGGGCTTAGGGCTTAGGGCTTAGGGTTTAGGGTTTACAATTTGCGGGGAAGCTCTTGAGTCTGTTGCTCTGTCTACCTCTCTCTCTCTCTCCCTCTCTCGCTCTGGTGCTCTCTTCCTTCCAGCACACAGGGTAGCCGAAGTGGCCGCCCCCGGAGGGCCCCTAAACTCTAAACCCTAAGCCCTAAACCCTCCGCCACAATGCTCCCACAACTTGACCTTGTTTCACAGGAGCCTGGCGGCCTGGAGAGGCGATGAAACACCCAAGAAACGACCCAAAAAACAAAGGGTTGGGCGGGGGGGGGATTCTGGGCCCTTAGGGTTGAGGATTCAGGATTTAGGGTTTGGGGTTGATCTTGCAGGCTTGTCCTGCCAAGCAATCATATCCTGTACTGTACTGTACTGTCCCATCGAATGTTGGGGGGTCCGGATGCCACGAAAACTTGGAAGCTCTTCTGACTTAGCAAGGAAGGATAGTAAGGTCGGTTCTGGGGATCCCAATAGCCTAGACCCAAAACCCAAAACCCCAAACCCTAAATACTTTTAGGGGGATACTAAGTCGACTTACTAAGTCAAAGGAGCTTGCAAGAAGCCGTGCTCTCCGAAGGTTGTCTGACCTAAAAAGCCCCAAACCTTGGGATGTTCCCCCTTATGCTAACAGTCCTTAATAGGGATGAAAACCGGGGGGGGGGGGGGGACTATAATCCCTATTCAGGACTTTTGGTATAAGGGGGATCATCAGACCCTCAGAACATTTGTGCTGTTTTCAGATTTCTCTGCCTGGTTCTGTTTGGCAGAGGTTCCTCCTGTTTCGAAAATCTGACGTGTCAACGCGCTGTACTGTCGCAATACGTTTCGCGCCTGACTGCTCGAATGAAGATCTGCTTTCTTTTTCCGGCCTGGAGTTCCGAAATCAAGATCCTCGCAGCGTTTTGCAAACATGCTTTGCTGTCTCAAACTTTGGGGCTGCTGGGGCCTGGAGTCCCTCAAGATGAACCCGACTCAGCCGACTGACAGTATGCACATGCAGAGAGACATGGTGTTTTGGCTGCAAAGATATGTTTCTCTGAGGCAATCTAGCCCCCTTGCATCCGCCATGGGGCGTCCCAGTCATGGCCCGGATATTCGCTCAATTCGCTCTAGGGTTTAGGGTTTAGGGTTTAGGTTTAGGGTTTAGGGTTTAGGGTTTAGGGTTTAGGGTTTGGGGTTTAGGGTTTAGGGTTCAGGGTCATAACAGGGGGTGGGTGGGTGATTTGAAGGGTGTTGATGCGATGGCTGGCGCCGTAACAGCCGCTCCTGACGCAAACAAAGTGGCCTGGGCACACTCACTGACACAAGCAAGCTCAAATAGCTGTTTGTCGTAGTTTAGGTTTCGTGGTGTGCGTTGGCCACTAGCCCGACCTACCCCAGCGCAAACCTACCCATTGTTTTATTTGCTGGTTTCGGGTTTGGGGTTTCGGGTTTAGGGTTTGCAGTTTTGCACAGGATTGGACAGTGCAGTGTTGTCAGCCGTGGAATAAAGCGGTTTAGGCTTCAGGGTTCAGGGTTTTGGGCACACACGTTCAGGGAGACACGATACATCAAGAGCCAAAGATATGTGTGTGTGTGTGTGTGGGTGGGTGATGTTTCCTCTCTCTCTTTGTTGTTGTTTTGGGGTACATGTACACAAACCCCCGCCAAAATGTGTATATCCTTAATTATAAGTACATGACACATATGAACACAAATACAAATAATTGCCAATGCAAAATACATGTCCAGATACGTATACACATACCGAGCTCGCCCGAAAGGTTTAGAAAGAGCTGCAGAGATTTAGGGCCTATGTAGGGCTTGAAAGGTTCAGGGTTCAGGGTTTAGGCCAAGTTTAGGCTGTCGGGCTTAGGGTTTAGGATTTAGTTTTTAGGATTTAGGGATGACAGGCGCAAGTTCTTGGGCATCTTTGAAGAATGCAGAAGAAACCCTAAACCTCAAACCCTAAACACGAGAGCTGGAAACAAATCCAGGCCACCCACAGGCAGATCTCGGAAACCCAATGCGAGTCGTCCAACAGCTGCTCCGTTTCCTCGGATTCTACTAGGAGGGTTTTGGGGTTTGGGGTTTGGGGTTTAGGGTTTAGGGTTTGGGTTTAGGGTTTAGGGTTTAGGGTTTAGGGTTTAGGGTTTAGGGTTTAGGGTTTAGGGTTTAGGGTTTAGGGTTTAGGGTTTAGGTTTAGTTTAGGGTTTTTAGGGTTTAGGGTTTAGGGTTTAGGGGTTAGGGGTGAGGGTTTAGGGTTTAGGGTTTAGGGTTTAGGGTTTAGGGTTTATTAGGGTTTAGGGTTTAGGGTTTATTAGGGTTTATTAGGGTTTAGGGTTTAGGGTTTAGGGTTTAGGGTTTAGGGTTTAGGGTTTGGGGTTTGGGGTTTGGGGTTTAGGGTTAGGGTTTGGGGTTTGGGGTTTAGGGTTTAGGGTTTAGGGTTTAGGGCTAAGGTTGTTCTGTGATGCTTTGCTTCCTTGGATTTCTCCAAGCAGGCCTCCCCCTCAGCGATAAATTGGGAGGGGTCCACGGTTTAGGGTTTAGGGTTTCGGGTTTAGGGTTTAGGGTTTAGGGTTTAGGTGTCCATTCATGGTCCGAGTTTCATCTTTGTAGTAGTTCAGGCAGCCACTCATCTTCAGGTACGACGTGTTGGCAATGTCGCCGGCCACGAAAATGGCATCCCCTTTTGCCGCGAGAGTTGGATGTAGGCTGTCGTTTGCCATCCTGCCCAAATTCATTTTCGGGGACGCTGCGGGAAACAACCAAATGAAATGCTGGCAGCCGGCAGAAATCTGGGGCGTTCAGCTCAAAAAGATCGATCCAAATCCCTGCTAAACTTTGAACGGTGCGCGGACATCCGCATGTCTTACACCCGAACCCTAATCCCGAAACTCAACCATGAGAGAATTACATTGCAGCTCTTCCCTACCTAAGGCCACCCAGAATCGGACCACTACGATCTCGCTTAGGGATTGGGGTTTGGGGTTTAGGGTTTAGGCTTTAGGGTTTAGGGTTTAGGGTTTAGGGTTTAGGGGCAGGATGTGGTGGGACATCAAAGCACAGTTCAGAGGCTGCAAGGTATCAATTGTGAGAGCACCTCTGCTTCTGAAAAATGGGTGGCGTGGAAAGCAGTTAGGGAACCCCCAGGCGCGCACAGCAGACACGTCGATGCCACCGGGGTACGAAGGCAGGCCTTCTGTTGCCATCCTAAACCCTAATGTAGGGGGCCAGAATAACCAGAAACGGGTTTTGGGGGTTAGTATGGTTTATTTATCTCGGGACCATAAGGGAAGACTGTAAGCAATTCTTCCGACCCCTAGGCCCTATAGACTTCGAGGCCGCACCAACACGTCCACTTCCCTGAGCACCTTACAAGTGAAACCTAACAACTTCGGACGGCATACTCTTGGTAGCCCAGCAACTTGGGATGTTCCCCATTATACTAACAGTCCTTGATAGGGACTATAGTCATTTGGGGTACTAGAATCCCTATGAAGGACTGTTAGAATAAAGGGGTACATCCCAACCAGTAGCCAAATGATGAAATGGGCACCCTTTTGTTTTGTGTTGGTTACTTAAGAAGGGAACCTTGAAACAAAAAAAGGGAAAAAGGGCACCACGGGGCTGCCAAGTACTACGACTGGTCCGTTGTAAGAAGTGTTGACAGGGAACCAACAGGATCTGCCGTCTACTTGGAAGTTCAGGGTACTTAGTATTCCAGATAGAATTGCAGCTATCACCCACTTGTAAGCCCTTAAGTTCCCAAATAGGGTTAGAATTAGGCTATAAGTGCAGCTTTGATTATTGTTGTTATTATTATTCATGTTATTATCATTAATATTATGAATAGTATTATTGTTATTTTTAATATTGTTGGGTTAATATTAATATTACTATTGTTACTGGTATTATTGTTGGGTTACCATGTACCATGAACCTCAAGGTAGACCTTCCTAAGAGGAACTCTCCATCTTCAACACAGATGGTTCCATGTAGCCGGCCTGTGAAGAACAGAGTGGCAATATGCCTTGCATGATGTTGAGGTTTGTTAGGGTTTAGGCTTTAGGGTTTAGTGTTTCGGGTTTGGGGGGCTAACAACATAGCTCGAACATGTAGCGAATCTAGTTCTGCAAGCTTGAATCAACATCGCCCAAGGAGCGTCGCCCTCCTTCAGTAAGACCTGCGCCAGCCCGGGATCAGGATTGAAGCAGTAGCAGATTTCAATCTGAAACATGCGAGACTTTACGATAACCCCAAGCCCTACGCCCCTAAAACCCATTTGGTGGAGGGGTGCTCCCTGCCCGGTTTGTGCACTTAGGTGGGTTTAGTGCGTAGTCTGCCTTCACGTGCCTGGAAGCATTCACATGGCATCATGGGTGGGTGGCACAATTTTGCCCTCCCTAAACCCTGAACCCCTAAACCACGAAACCCTAAACCCCTAAACCCTAAACCCGAAACCCCCCAGACCCTAAACCCTACACCCTAAACCCTAAACCCTTCCTAACAGCGCCACCTTGATTGCCCCAATCTTGCACAGCGCCGGACGATGCCGTTCGAACTGCAGCTCTTCGAACATAGGGCGCGAAAGGAGGTCGAGCAAAGGCACCTCAGGAAAGGTTTAGGGTTTAGGGTTTAGGGTTTAGGGTTTAGGGTTTAGGGTTTAGGGTTTAGGGTTTAGGGTTTAGGGTTTAGGGTTTACGGTTTAGGGTTTAGGGTTTAGGGCTTAGGGCTTAGGGCTTAGGGCTTAGGGTTTAGGGTGTTTAGGGTGTTTAGGGTGTTTAGGGTGTTTAGGGTGTTTAGGGTGTTAGCGTTTCAGCGTTTAGGCTTTCAGGGCGTTGGGACAAAGAGGTGGCTTCATAGGCTTAGAAAACAAACTATAACAACGTACACATGGGAATCGCAAGTCTCTCTCGCTCTCTCTCTCTCTCTCTCTCTCTCTCTCTGGGCTCTTTGTTCTTCTGCGGTGGATATGGGGCTTAGATCAGTGAAGGCACCTGCATATGCAGTGACCTTGCATATTGCCGCTCCGTATACTGGTGTTGCAAGAACTGCGTTATCCTGTGGCCCAAGTCCTGCGGAATGCTGTACTGCTGCAGATACCGGCGTAGGAGACGGAACTGGCTCACCTCGTCCTGGGTGGATCTTGTTGCTCAAGGCCACTCTTAGAAATCTAGACGCAACAGTTACCTAGGAAGCTCTAGGTCCTAGTCTTGTTGCTCAACCGTTCATAAGACACCTGTTCGAAAGACAATGTGTGGCTTTGTTGCCCGCATCAATTATTCAACCAGAACAGGCCAAATGAAAATTAGGGTTTAGGGTTTAGGGTTTAGGGTTTAGGGTTTAGGGTTTAGGGTTTAGGGTTTAGGGTTTAGGGCTTAGGATGTACAAGGACGGTCCATGTGGGCTGCCAGGGCTCCTCATGGATCATCCGCAGACCGGCAATCAAACTGCCCATGGTGCTGATAAGCATCGCAGCCGTGATCAGCGAGGTGAATGCAATGAAGCTGTTCAGTATCCTAGTTCATTGTTGGGATAATACTAAAAATGATAGATGCTCATATCCCTTATTGGGTTTAAGCACTCCTAAAAATGTAACATGTTGCCCAACTATGACAAAGTATCATCTCCGTCGTGTTCGTCGGTTGCAGGGGGCTCTCTCCCACCCCCAGCTGGCAGAAGGACCACAAGACGCAAGCCAAATACTGGAATCCGGAATCCCTCTCGCTCATGCCTGTGGAGGCCACCCAGTTCTCTGTATGCAGCCAGGTCCTTGTAGCCCAGTAACCATAGTGTAACAAAGGCACCCTTTTTTGGCTGGTTACTTTACAAGGGAACCAGAACCAAACAAAAACCTAAACCCTAAACCCTAAACGGGAAAAGGGTACCACTTGGCTACCAAGGGTCACCCCAAACCAACCGCAAGCCACCCAATGGATCAACATCAGTAGCTGGCCCAGGCTGACCATGAAGTTCAGGTACAAGCTGGCTGTCTGAGAGTGGATGAGGTCCTGCTTGGAGGTTTAGGGTTTAGGGTTTAGGGTTTAGGGTTTAGGGTTTAGGGTTTAGGGTTTAGGGTTTAGGGTTTAGGGTTTAGGGTTTAGGGTTTAGGGTTTAGGGTTTAGGGTTTAGGGTTTAGGGTCTGACTTGGTGAGGTCGGATGATCGAAATTGGCGTTTCCCAAATTATATGCAGCAGGGTTTGTTTTTCTGTTTTTGGTGAGTGTACATCAGGTTCCTTTTAATATTGGTGAGTGTATATGTTGGGTGTCCTTTTGGGGGTACAAGAAATATATACCCCACTTCATATAGGGGTACCTGATTGTGGTCCTTATTCTAAGGGAACCCTACTATTCGGGGGTCTATTTGCGGGTCCCCTGTTTTCGTAAACCCCCAAGTCCGAGAGAGCCCACAATGGCTCCAAGCCAAAATCCAGGGTTCCGCAAAAGTTGTACCCTGAATTAAGACCCTAAACCCTAAACCCTAAACCCCAAACCCCAAACCCTAAACCCTAACCCCTAAACCCTAAATCCCATGAGCCCTCGGAGCTATCGGCTCCTGTATTGCCATGAAGCCCTGTCGCAACTTCATTGCCCGCATGACCCGCACCAGTCGAAGGAGCCGAAGCATGCGGCTCGAGCGACTTAACTCGGATGTGCCTTCGGTGCTTGGAGAGGGGAGCTGTTGGGTTTAGGGTTTAGGGTTTCGGGTTAGGGTTTAGGGTTTAGGGTTTAGGGTTTAGGGTTTAGGGTTTAGGGTTTAGGGTTTAGGGTTTAGGGTTTAGGGTTTAGGGTTTAGGGTTTAGGGTTTAGGGTTTAGGGTTTAGGGTTTAGGGTTTAGGGTTTAGGGTTTAGGGTTTAGGGTTTAGGGTTTAGGGTTTAGGGTTTAGGGTTTAGGGTTTAGGGTTTAGGGTTTAGGGTTTAGGGTTTAGGGCTGAGGGCTTAGGGCTTAGGGTTTAGGGTTTAGAGTCTTGGGGTTAGGGCTTAGGGTAAGTTGCAGGGCGCGCGGGTTGACCTTCCTGGGTCCAAGGAACTGAGGACAGAATACAGGGGCGCCCGGGCCTGCACGCAGTCCAGCCATTTCGTGTTTTGTTTCCCACAATTTCCTATTTTTGCTCGACGGTTGTGTTCTCCGAATTTAGGGTTGAGGGTTTAGGGTTTAGGGTTCAGGGTTTAGGGTTTAGGGTTTAAGGGTTTAGTTTGGAGGCTAATTGTCTTCTAAGGAATGTCATATCATAAGGTTTGGGTTGGGGAACCCAAATTGCTCTGTTGTCGCACGATGCTGCGGCGCCTTTTTGCTAGTGTGCAGGCACTTGATTTTTGCAAAAACTCCGAAGTTCTTTGCTAAGCCTTAACCCCCTTAAGCCCTAAACCCCAAACCCCAAACCCGAAACGGGCCTTAGAACCTGAACGGAGTCCCGGAGCTTTTAGGATTTAGAGCTACTGGGGTGGGTTCAGGGGCTTAGGATTTTGAGTTACAGATTTAGGGGGGGGGGAGGAGGGGGGGGAGGGGGGAGGACGAGGCCAGATGCGTGCATGGTTTAGGTGGTTTAGGGTTTAGGGTTTGGGGTTTAGGGGTGGTCTCGCTGGGGATGACAACGCCCAACACCATGCCAGGATCTTTCGTCGCACGAAATTCAGTCCTGCTTAATTAGGGGGCATTGGGGTCACCAGACAAGGCATTGCCAGGTTTTAAGACCTAAGGTCAAATCCTACCCCACTATTTCTGTGGTTTAGCGCTGTAAGCCCTGAACCTCCTCCCCCCCCTCCTCCCCCCCCTCCTCTCCCCCGCTCCTCCCCCCCGCCCCCCCCCCCCCCCAAAAAAAAAACAAGAAACAAGACGGCACGAAGCCTCTCAAAGCCCTGAAGCCGAACAGCACCTTCACACCCGCGGTTGGGGTTGCTTCGCCACGGGGAGGGAGGCCGGTCACGTAGCGTTAAATTACAGAGCTCGGCACCACAACGGATATCATGGGCCAAGGCGCAGCAAGGCTCGATAAAGTTCAAGTTCCTGGCTAGGTATCATGTACGACCCCTTGGATGACCTCCTCCTAGACAGTATCATAGAAGGCCTCCCCCACACCCCAGTCATTTCTCACAGGTTCTTGACAACACCATTCCTTGGGCATCATGAGCTGCAGAAACCCGAGCTGCACCCCAGACAACGATAGTAGCTGAGCAGGGAAACAAATGGAGCCCGATGACGTTCAACAGTGAGTCTTGTTGAGCATAGAACAACATGAGGCAACAGCAGAAGCTCAACCTCTTCGCGAGCTGAGGTGCTTTCTGCAGCAAGTTGATCCAAGATGTCGACAATCCAGTCGATGAAGATCAAGGACAAGTCAAAAAGCCTTAAGCATGCAGCGCCGCGCGAACACCCAGTTTAGTTAGCCCCAAACCTTAAACCCTAAACCCTAAACCCTAAACCCCAAATCCTAAACCCTAAGCCCTAAACCCGAAACCCTAAACCCTAAAACCTAAATCTTAAACCCTAAGCCCTAAACCCTAGGCACCTAAACCCTACACCCTACACCCCAAATCCTACACCCTAAAACCCTAAGCCCTACATGCTACACCCTGAACCCTAAACCCTATGCAAACCGTCAACCCCAAACCCTAAACCCTCTAAGTCCTCTAAGTTCCAAGGTTGACCCCAACAGGCTCCCAGCTGCATCGAGAAGCATCCAGGTCTGGGCGTAGTGGCGGACCACTTTGCCTACTTGAAGGTACTTCTTACCCAACTCGGGTTTAGGGTTTAGGGTTTAGGGTTTAGGGTTTAGGGTTTAGGGTTTAGGGTTTAGGGTTTAGGGTTTAGGGTTTAGGTTTTAGGGTTTAGGGTTTAGGGTTTAGGGTTTAGGGTTTAGGGTTTAGGGTTTAGGGTTTAGGGTTTAGGCTCTGGGGTTTGGGGCTTGGGGTTTGGCGTTTAGGGTTTAGGGTTTCGGGTTGAACCCAACTATTACTGTAGTCATCAACCCAATTATAGCCCTATTAGCGTACTTGAGAGGCTTATACGTGGGGTATATCTACACGTATAGAGTAGGTTCCCCCAAAGCGTGAACTTCCTTTTTGCTTCATGTGACTGCTAGCTACTATTTTCTTCCTTGTTAAGGGCAATATATGGGGATTATTACTTTCTACTATTATTGTTATTTTATTAGTATTTTTCGTTGGGTTTAGGGCTTAGGGCTTAGGGCTTAGGGCTTAGGGCTTAGGGCTTAGGGCCTAGGGCTTAGGGCTTAGGGCTTAGGGCTTAGGGCTTGGGGCTTAGGGCTTTCTTAAAAGCAAGGAGTAGGCATAAGGGAACCGAGATGCAAGGCTCCATGATGAGGAAGCCCTTCCCTTGGTTGCTCGTTAACCCTCCCTCAAAAACAACTAAGCCCGAAACCCTAAACCCTAAACCCTAAACCCTAAACCCTAAACTCTAAATAAAGTTGCAGTAAAGTCCCACCGAGTTTCGGTAGTAGCCGGTGATGAAGGTGAGGATGAAATCCAAACTCCAAAAGATGCGAACAAGGAGAGACACCGGATATCCTTGGTTTGGTTTCGGAAACAATTGAGGGTTTAGGGTTTAGGGTTTAGGGTTTAGGGTTTAGGGTTTAGGGTTTGCGCTTTTTGGGGCTGGGCTACTTTATAAGGCAACCTTGAACCAAAAAAAGGGAAAAGGGTACCACCGGGCTACCAAGCATCTTGATAGCCAGCTGGGAAGAGTGAAGACAAGCAAGGGGATAACAAGCAGATCATACATTACAAAGGCAGCCACGAGCAAGTTCCAAAAAGATCGAAACGTGCTGTTCGGGTGCATCACGCACCGACGCTGCGTGGATCCACCCATGGGGCTGTGAGAATTCGCAGCCCACGTCTGGTTCATGGTGCTCTTCTTGTTCTTTTGAGCGGTCTTGACGTACGCGTTGTCATGCCAGCAGGCGTGGGTTTTCAGCTGGATGTCCGAAATGCTAATGTCCGAATCGGCATCCCCCTCATCGGCCTCTGAACGATGCAGGCTCAACAACGATTGCAGAAGTGCTTTCGTCCCGTTTAGACTGGTCAGGTCTCCATCTGGTGGGTCGGGCGCGCGTGGTATGGGTAGAGCCGTGGGCTCGTCTGGCTGGGAATGTGGGGAGGCAACAACGCAGATGCTTAGCCTTCTGCTCGACCTCCGATCGTTCTGGCCTGAGCCAGCATGAAGCCGGGATGGGTCCACGGGTTCGTCCATTGGCTGGATGTTGCAGATGCTGCTCCGTTTTCGAGCCTGGAAAGGAATTCCGGGCACGGAGACGCTGGTGCCGCGCTGCACATCTGCCACGTACCACTCCGCCAGCATGCGATGCAAGTCCCAGAAGGAATACAAGTGCTTGGCATTGCCTTCCATGGGAAAGGCGTCCATGCCCGCTGGCGTGGAGCACGAATGCAGTGCTTCTTAGGTCCCTAGAGGTGATGAGCAGTACCCCCATCCCTCGAATATTAACCCCCCCCCGGCACCTATTCAGTAACCCCCCATTCTTGTTATATTCTAGCATACAGGCCGTATGTAATATTAGGGGGTGCTGTCGCTGTGGGGAAGGTCTTATTGCTAATCGTTGGCTGGTGAGCATTCTTGCACCCCTGGTCCGACATGAACGGTTTGAAGCTTACATTCCGTGACCAGCTTGAAGAGAATTCAGGAGCACTGGGAGCCACCAAGCTTTCGGTTCAGAGGCCAAGGTGGAGGGGGTTTAGGGTTTAGGGTTTAGGTTTTAGGTTTTAATTTTGGGGTTTAGGGTTAGGGTTTGCGGTTTACGGTTTACGGTTTCGGGTTTAGGGTTTAGGGTTTAGGGTTTAGGGTTTAGGGTTTAGGGTATAGGGGTTTGGGGGTTAGGGGTTTAGGGTTTAGGGAGCAAAGCGCTACTTGACAACAAAAGCACACCGAGGCTTGCTGGTCCTTTAGGGCAACCCACGCACCAACGGCAACCCCTGCACCAATAGCCATAGCTAACCCTACTTGAAGGTTCATGGTACTTACTAACCAATTATAACTGGGCTTATAACCCTACTTATAACTGGGATAACCCCTATAAGGCCCTTTAGGGGAATTATAAGTAGGGTTACAAGTACAGTTATAATTGGTTAGTAAGTACCATGAACCTTCAAGCACTTATAGCCCTGCTTGTAGGTACCCATGAACCTCCAAGCAGGATTGCCTCTGCCTTGAGGCGAAAATAGCACGAAAACCTTAGGTAGTGTGCTCTATGGGCCAGAAAAACGTCCTGGAGTCTTTTAGTCCTATGTCCCAGGTTTGCTCACGTTGCTGCCTCTTTCAAACAGCCAGCTAGGGTCTCGAAGGAACTCTATAGGGTACATGGGGTACCTTACAGAACTTCCTTCTTGTTCTTTCATGGCTGTCGGCTTAAACAGCAGAAACTGATAGTCCACCAGACCCAGCCCTAAACCTCAACGAAACTCTTCTTTCTTCTCTGTGTCATGATGATGCCCAGCTAACCTACTTGGAGTTCTTAAGATAAGCCCTACAAACCTACAACCCTACTAACCACAAGGTTCGCCTTGTTTGGGCATAGTGAGCTGTATTAGGGACTGAATATTCTACAGAAAGGGAATCAAGGCCAACACGGAAAGGCTGCAACCGTACACCATACGCCCCTCATATGGCAGGTTCTAGAAATCATGGGTAAACTTAAGGTTTAGGCTTTAGGCTTTAGGCTTTAGGCTTTAGGCTTTAGGCTTTAGGCTTTAGGCTTTAGGCTTTAGGCTTTAGGCTTTAGGCTTTAGGCTTTAGGCTTTAGGCTTTAGGCTTTAGGCTTTAGGCTTTAGGCGTTAGGCTTTAGGCTTTAGGCTTTAGGCTTTAGGCTTTAGGCTTTAGGCTTTAGGCTTTAGGCTTTAGGCTTTAGGCTTTAGGCTTTAGGCTTTAGGCTTTAGGCTTTAGGCTTTAGGCTTTAGGCTTTAAGGCTTTAGGCTTTAAGGCTTTAGGCTTTAGGCTTTAGGCTTTAGGCTTTAGGCTTTAGGCTTTAGGCTTTAGGCTTTAGGCTTTTAGGCTTTAGGCTTTAGGCTTTAGGCTTTAGGCTTTAGGCTTTAGGCTTTAGGCTTTAGGCTTTAGGCTTTAGGCTTTAGGCTTTAGGCTTTAGGCTTTAGGCTTTAGGGCTTAGGGCTTAGGGTTTAGGTTAGGGTTTAGGGTCTAGGGTTTGGGGTTTAGGGTTTAGGGTTTAAATTTAGGGTTAGGGTTTAGGGTTCCTATGGTAAGGACTCAAGTGCTCTCGGCTACATAAGGAGTACCCCGACTTCGGACAGACCCAAATCGAGCGAGGACTGAGGCTTCCGGGTAACGACAGCAGTGCGCCTGGTGAGCAGGCCATTGCAAGATCACCTTCAGCCCAACTCAACATGGAGTGAGATTAAGGAGCCCTCTAAACCCTAAACCCTAAACCCTAAACCCTAAACCCTAAACCCTAAACCCTAAACCCTAAACCCTAAACCCTAAACCCTAAACCCTAAACCCTAAACACCGAGCCGTGAAGCAACATCGGCGCCTTGAAACCGTGGCCCGATTGCATGACAGCGTGAACCCTAATCATTGAAGCCCCCACCGCTGCAACAGGCTTCGAGGTTTAGGGTTTAGGGTTTAGGGTTTAGGGTTTAGGGTTTAGGCTTTAGGCTTTAGGCTTTAGGCTTTAGGCTTTAGGCTTTAGGCTTTAGGCTTTAGGCTTTAGGCTTTAGGCTTTAGGCTTTAGGGTTTAGGGTTTAGGGGTTAGGGTTTAGGGTTCAGGGTTTAGGGTTTACGGTTTAGGGATAAGGGTGTAGTAGGACTCTAGACCCGAGAGTTCCCTAGGAATCAAAAAAGGTACCCTTTTTGGTTTGAAGGGGCTTTATGAAGGGAACCTAAACCCTAAAAACAGGGAGTTAGGGCCTCCTCAGGGTCCTCGCCCTAAACCCTAAACCCTAAACCCTGAACCCTAAACCCTAAACCCTAAACCCTAAACCCTAAATCCTAAACCCCAAACAAAGGGGAGTAAGGGCCTACTGTGTTGAGGGTCGTAGGTTTTGGTGTTTTTGCCGGCTTAGGGAGCCCTGCCTCCGGCTCTGCAAAGGTCGCAGGTAGCCCAGGTGTGCTTTGGGACTGCTACTTTAGGGTTTAGGGTTTAGGGTTGAGGGTTTAGGGTTTAGGGTTGAGGGTTTAGGGTTTAGGGTTGAGGGTTGAGGGTTGAGGGTTGAGGGTTGAGGGTTTAGGGGTGTAGAGTTTAGGGTTTAGGGTTTGAGGTTTAGGTCGTGCACTCTTATCAGCACATGTCACGCAGTCTTCAAAAGGGCCAGGAACTTGCTCACAGGTGAAGACGGCCTGAAGTGGAGACGGAGAGTTACGACCCGCGATAGACCCTAAACCCTAAACCCTAAACCCTAAAGTGATGCTTCAGGGTGGCTTTAGAATTGGGTTTTGAGCGATGCGCGGAGGCGCAAGAGTCTCGTGATCTTTCGGGCCCCAATCCTTAAGCCTTAAGCAAGCCCGTACAGCCAGAAACCCTCAGTTGTGGGTTTATCAGGGCCCTAAACCCTAAACCCTAAACCCTAAACCCTAAACCCTAACCCTAAACCTAAACCCTAAACCCTAAACCCTAAACCCTCAACCCTCAACCCTCAACCCTCAACCCTCAACCCTCAACCCTCAACTCTCAACTCTCAACCCTCAACCCATACATAAACCCTCAGCCCCCCCGCAAATCCCAAACCCAACAACCTAGTTCGGCTCGCCGACTTGTGCCTTTACCATGATACCGACACCGACCTCCAGAAGCCTACATGGCTTGGGGTTTGGGGTTTGGGGTTTGGGGTGTTTGGGGTTTGGGGTGTTTGGGGTTTGGGGTGTTTGGGGTTTGGGGTTTGGGGTTTGGGGTTTGGGGTTTGGGGTTTGGGGTTTTTGGTTTAGGGTTTAGGGTTTAGGGTTTAGGGCTTAGGGTTTAGGGTTTAGAGTTCAGGGTTTAGGGTTTAGTGGTTAGGGTTTAGAGGGCTGCGTGGCTTGGCAGCTATGAGTGCCTTGGACCTCGGAACCCAAACGCAGTCCTAAATTACGCTCCACCCCTACCCCCTTATATGAAATACTCCCAGGCCCTAGTTCCATTAGAGTATATGGGGGGTGGGGGGGGGGGGGGGGGGGGGGGGGGGGGGGTTGATGTTAGGGGGAGGGGAGTACTGCAAGTTCGAAGCCGACTGCCTTTTTTCGCGTGCTGCTCCCTGTTTTGCCGGTTTGACACACTTGGTCGTTGCGAGCTCCTACATGTGACGCCAGCTTGCTGCAGGGCGAGAAGGACACGTGAGAACCCTGTCCGTTGCGCAAGGGGTCGATCCAGCTTTTTAAGGGGCTGTTGCCGGAGCTGTGCTTGGAAGTGTATGCGAAGTTCTATACGCAGCTATCACCTTATCTTCTTATTCCCCGAAACCCTAAACCCTGAACCCCAAACCCCAAACCCCAAACCCCTAAACTCTAACCCTAAACCCTTCTTGTCCATCGCCCCAAGACCCTTAAACCTTCAATGGCCCTGGGCGGTGAGCCTTCGCAGCAAAGACTGCAAGCACACAAAAATCACACAAAAACGAAACGGATAAAACCAAAAAACAAGCGGGAGGGGAGTTAAGGGCTCTCGCCACAAGGACCCTGGGCGGAGCCCACCCCAGCGTCTTCTCAGAGGGTTTCGGGCTTCGGGTTCAGGCTTTAGGGTTAGGGGTTGAAGGCACGTTCAACATCGGTGGCTATCAAAAAAGTTTACCACTGCAATGACAAGGAATACATGGACCACGCGAAGTTTGCTGCCCTTTGACGTTAAGCAGGAAAGCCCAACTGCAGATACTTCCATGTTCTCTGCCCAACCACTTTCATCCTGTTAGGAGCACGCTACCCCTAAAACCTAGACTATCATTACGCCCCCAAAAGCCTTGCTTAGCTTCAGGCCCTGCAGAAGGCTGGCACCCGTCTGGGGGGCATCGTAGGGTCACCGGGCTGTTTCCGACGGTTGACAGTCAGGCTGCCCGCCGGTGCAACTCGGTGCAACGCGATGCTTCGTGTCGAGCGCCAAAGCAGGATGGACTTAATTTTTGTGAAACACACAGGGAGATCCTGGGTAGAGTTCTCCCTGGGGAGAACTCGGGTACTGGTTATACTCATAGCCCTACATGTAATTACCCATGATGCTTCAAGAAATAGAGATGATATACTCATAAGCCTACATGTAAGGCCCAGAAAGCCCTCAGACCTTTTGCGGATCCTGCTGGTGGTGGGGTTTAAGTTTAAACAGGGAACCCAAGCCCCAAACCCTCCAGAAAGATACTCCGAAGTAAGGTCCTCTTCAACCCAATAAGGGAACATCGAAGATGTTTAAAAATGAATATCCTTGCGAGTAAGAAGCC